CAGGGCTTTGTGGGCCTCGCTACCGCTGGGAGGAAGAAGATGTGGAAAAGACAAGGACCTACTATAGCGATGATGCCTCCATTGATGACAGTATTCCTTGGAACTGGCGGGAGTGTACCCGCATGCGGGTACAGGAAGCATATGATTTTTGCCTCACAGTGCGCCCGGCATTGCGCTGGACCAGCAAGAAGGAAGCGTCAGAGGGACCACCACAGCTCGGTGTTGATGGTGTCGATGGCGAAATATCCGATGGGATGGAGCAGGTTCTCGCAGCTGTGGGTTTCCCCTCGGTGCCTCCTCCCGCACGCCGCGGCGTTCTTTCTGGTGACCTGTTCGAGAGCCCGCAAGACGATGGCTCGATGCTCCCGTCGGACTTCTCGGACGTCATTCCCAAGGTCGTAAAGCGCTCGTCGAGGGATAAGCAGGTTGCTGGCCCATCTACCTTACCGTATCCTTTCACTGCTGCCGGCGCACAGATGTCGTCTGCAGATAAGGTGCCGTTCCCGCCTTCGCCTGTCAAAAGCGGAAGCAAGAAGGCCTCGAGTGGCAGCGGTGAGAGTGGAAGCGGCAGTGGAAGTGGCAGTGGCAGCGGCAGCGCAAGCACTGAGGACGACGATGAAGAGGACGAGGACGAAGATGATGATGAAGAGGAGGAGGAGGATGAGGATGAGGAGGATGAGAGTGAGGTGCCTTCGACAGGGAGAGCTTCTGGATCCATGTCAAGTCTCGGCCATCCTGTATCATCGCGTTATCCCTTCCAGTTCCGGCGCCCTGGCCGCGGGGGCAGCGCCTCCTCGGGTGCTGCTTCTCACCTGACGCCCAACTCCAACAATCATTCGATGCAGTCGAGGATGTCACAGGGGACACAGTCCACCGGAAACCGCGAATCGGTAGACTCCCACTCCCCTCGTTCACACATGTCGACCTCCGATGCCGGAATAAGCAGCAGTAGCGGGATACCCATGCCGCCCAGACATCCGCAGCAAGGACAGAGACGAGGGAGGCAGAGGGCTGGGACGGTCCCCGCGTTCACGCCTACATCATCGCCGTCAATCGTCTTCCCGACGGCAAGCCGCCCAAGAGCGCACACCCGGACTGATACAGACTCACTTGGTGCTCCTGGTATCTACTCGGACGAGGGCCATAGTCTGTTGGACGACGCAGCTTCGGAATTCTCGCATGAAGCAGCGGAAAGGGACGACCTTGTGGGATTGTTGTCGCCTGGCGGTCCCAGTCCACGCACTTCCCTTATGAACCGCGGGAGCATGGTCTCGCTGCATCGCGTCCATAGTTCGCGGTCAGGCTCCAACTCCAGGTCGAACTCCCATACGTCGTCATCGCGGTCGCGGGCCGGGTCAATCCCCGTCTCGATACGATCGCGGGCGCAATCTCTCATCCAAAACATCGGCGCGGCTTCGCACTCATCACTTGAACTCGTGCAGAGCGCCATCCGTTCGCGCGCTAACTCGTCCATGGCCCGACTGGAGGAGGATTCGTACTACTCTGATGGACGAACGCATTCGAGGTCTGGGAGCGGGTCGGTCAGTGCGAATGAGAATTATACGTTTGGCCAACCGATGAGGATGCACTTCCTTCCGCGAGAAGAGGAGCCTTTGGAAGAGGAGCCGGCCACACCGTCAGTGCAGGCCCCAACACCACCGCCCCTCGTGCACTCCCTCTCTAATCTCTCGTTCACCGGCCCTCTACGAACATCCCGCTCCCCGTCACGATCGCCGAAACTGTCCAAACGCCAGCCCAGCCCTGACCCAGAAACAACAGCCACTGGCCGGGCGTTGTCGACACCAGATTCCGACTTCCTCACCCCAGGACCCTCGAGTCCACTTGACATTCCTCACACTCCCGTCCGTGAGGAGCACCCTGCCGAATCGGTGACGAGCAGCCCTCCGGGTATAAGCACCGCTGCCCAATCATTCGTTACGGCGCCTGCGACGATAGCGGGAACAACAGAGTCAAGTGGTCGAACCATTTCAAGTTGGGGTGGCATGTCACACATGGTTGACCGCCCGGACTCAACGTGGCGACCTGCATGAAAACGCGTGTCTGTTTATCCGAAACGATTCTCCCTCATCTCATGACCCACCACCCCTTACCTTAACGACCCGACACGAACTTTTCATTTTCCTTTTATGTTGTATTTGTTAGGCTGGCTTGCGGTTGTTCTCTAAGCCTGCCGTTTCCAGATTATCTGTTCTCATCCGTGCGACACCTCTTCACCGCCCATCAGACTCTGTTGCATTCACATCTATTAATTATTAGAACTCATCATATACTTCATCGTATTCCTTATTGACCTCGTCCTCCTACTTACACATTCACCCTAACACATTCACCCTGCGCAATCTACCACCCGCCCTTTACATCTCACATTATCTTCCGCCGTAGCTTCTAATACCACATGTTCCCTCCGTAACATGCAGTACAGATTTCATTTCTCATTCATGTTATCCAGGACTTTAAGAAGCGCGTGCAGTCACGGGAGTGTCCTCGCGGAACATGTTCTGGATTATGAAGCAGGGCAACGAGATTCTTTTCCTGACCAGGCCCAGATCATGTTGTAGTTTCGTCTTTTGAACCAGAGGATCGATCGGTTTTGAATCATCCTCCGCCACGTCAGGGTCGCTGGCTATACTTCTACCAGCGGAGCGCCTCATCTCAATCATCTTCTGATTCTGTCTCACTGCACCCCAGATTTCTGCCACATGTTTGACTTCTCTGTGTCACTATTGGGAGATCCGGTCACAACTTTCTGGTGGCGGTGGCGGTCCGAACGCAACGTTGTTTGGATGCAGCCACCTGGTCGGTCGGTCGACGCCTCAATGTAGTCATAAAGAATGGAGAACAATGTCGATGGGCTTGTAAAATCCAGTTCCATTTCCAGAGACAGGATTAGGCGAAGCCGTATCCTTGTCATATATCAACAGCTGTGCAAATAATTGAGTGAAATTTTCGGTGACAGATCAGAATATATACCAATGAATTATTTTAAACTCCTTATACTATATGCTGTTCACGAACAGATTGGCCGTAAATAGAATATCAGTACGATTTCACTGACACGTCACAGTATAAGTGGCGATCCAGCATTGCCTAGTGGCGCTGAGAGAGAAATTGTGCGCACACCGGACAACGAAAAAGGCCGTTACGTTGTGCTAAAACGATAATAAAATGATGATACACAATACATGAAATCTCGAGTCAAATCGGACCTTGTCTCCGCTACAGTCGCCTTATTCATTGTGGCGCGTAATGTACAGGTAGGGCGAGAAAATTCCAGAGGCGACAAATCCAAATCGTCGTAACGATCTGCATGGCCCTAATACAACCGAGAGGGTCAAGCGGATAGAAGTGGGTGGGGGCAAGGAAAGAATAATGATAAGGGAAGATATGAACGATTTGTATCTGTATAACAAGCCACTTGAGCGCGATTTAGGGTATTGCGCTGGCAGGGCCTTTTATCCAGGGTTGGCGCAACTAGGACGGCGTCTGTGCCAAGAAGCGCCAGGGTGTGCGAGGTCTGAATTCAAAGACGGGGAGCTCCAGCTCGTCGTCTGACATGTCACTGTCAGGGGAAGATGGTGTGTCGACATGGACGACTAGCGGGCTTGTCGCGATGGGCGAGACAGCGTCAGAGCTCAAGCTCTTGGATGTTGTCTAGTATCAAGTCAGTAAAAGTAAAAGGAAAGCTAGTCCAGCACGGCGTACATCGACTTTTGAGATTGTAGAGCCTTGAGTGGCAGAGGTGTCGACTGCGCCAGCCATTCAAAGGATTTGTAAAGTCTTGAAGTGTGACTCCAAGAAATGAGCAATGAGAGCGAGGATTGACTCGAGTTAGTCGAAAGATGTATGAGTGGTCCTTAGGGAAAGCAGGGTTGGGGCAGTATATAGGTATGCACGAGGCTGTACTGACACCCAGTGGATTGTTCGGAGCTCCATTGTGTTCGTCACGAACAGCGACAGTTCCGACAGGTGATTCTTGAACAGCAAATGGAGCAAGAGGCTGTGCCGGTTGCAATTGGTGCCGGCCAAGTGAGATGAACCAAATACAGGGTTTGACCGTGAGAATGTACACCAAATTTAAAGATCATGTCCGTGAATTTCACTCAAGCTACTTACATCAATTCTGACTAGTTCAGAAGCAGGCTATACATCGAAAGAATACCACCAAAAAAATTCAGATGCAATTCTGTTGAGTTGAGCAAGGTAATGGCCGAATAGTAGGTGTGGGTGCCTGTTTTATAAAAACGGCGACTTTGTACGTGACAGGCGTGACTAGGCAAATTTGCATACTTGGGCATCACTACCTGGCTATTTAAGTCATGGAGGATGGAGAGAATAGTGCTACTAATATTTCTACCACACCACATGTTTATTAGAGCACGAGGAAGCCACGGAGGACTTTGCAACTGAGGGAGAGTGGGAGGTGTGACATATCGTGACATGACGTGCTGAGAGGACTCCCAACCTCAAAATGGGCCTTACAAGTCAAACTCAGTAGAAAGTTAGGATAGAAAATATCTGTATGTTGCCTCAGAACATATGTTCTTGTATCAGGCTTTGCATTGGGCTGGAAAAGGTGTTGCACGCAAGATAGAGCTCATCGAAGGTTTGATGGCCTAGATCAAAACAGGGTAATCAAGGACCCTCTCTTCCGAATTTCCCTCAATTCACTCCAGAATGCCTCTCCATAATGCATACAGTAGATATACATATATCTAACATCAATTGAGGCCAGGTAATTGCAGAGGAAACTGAAAAAACGGTACTGTACAAAATCACCATCGTGTACAAAGTCCCGGTCAAACCCTGTATAGTAATTCTAGGGCTAGACAAAGGCTAGGACAGACTGGAATGGGCCCATCAATTCTTTTTGTGAACACCGAAGTAGGCCTCTTGGTGGGTTCGGCATTGCCACCGCAAATTTTGTCCGTGCTATATCCTCGACTATAGCGATGAACTGGTGTTCCCAAGTAAAATAGAACAGGCCCTACCAGGGATCGAACCTGGGTCACGAGAAATCGACGAGTCAGAATCTCGAGTGATAACCACTACACTATAGAGCCATACCTCCACTGAGTGTTGTCTACAACAAGTCCTCATTCTTTTCCATGATCATCTCTTTCGGCCCTTCCGAATCCGAGTTACCAGTTCCCGCCGTGCCGGTTCAACGTTCTCGACCAACGGCACGGAATATGTCTTATACACTTGCACTGACGTCGATGTCTTTAGATTTTCCTTCTCTTTCCCCACAGTGCCATGCGTATCACCCCCTGCCTGCGCAAGAACACCCAGTCCATCTCCGCCGCACTCCGTGAACGTGTGCGTCGGCCTGCACTTCTGAACAAGCTTGCGGAGCCAGCGGATCTCGCACCGTTGTTCAAGGTATGTACCGGAAAATTGCTTGAGATCCTGACGATGCTCATGACCCTCTGCAGAACGATGACTATGTATGATCAGATTCTTTTCACTCGAGGATCTCTCATGGGACATGTTGTGTCTGTAGATTGGCTGGTCAGGTTTCACTGGCGTTGGATACCCCAAGTCGGTGCCTACAGTATGTGCCGGGTTCTTACGTCGCACTTTATATTGACTTCGTTCTGGTGCGGTAGGCTATAGCGGACCATGTCGAAGCGAACAACCTTCAAGCAGACCCCGCAACGAAAAAGAAATTCAACCTCTTTGTCGGTGCGTCTGTTGGCCCAGAAGTCGAGGATCGCTGGGCGAGACTTGACATGTGAGGAGAGCTGTACTCTATGCTTATCTATTCTGACAATATTGGCAGGATCGCGCGCCGCTACCCACACCAGGTCGGCAAGGACATCTCGAAAGGCATCAACGCCGGCCGCATCGAATTCGCAGACAAACATCTCTCCAGTGCGCACCTTCTCATTTTCCTCTCAGTACTTCAGCTGACCTCCTTGGTGCAGTGTTCCCGCAGGATCTTACATATGGATACTATAACCTTCGCAAAGATCACGGCGACCCCCGCAAGCCCCTGGACTGGGCCATCGTTGAGGCCACCGCCATTACCGAGGACGGTAAGATCGTTCTTGGCGCCTCAGTGGGCGCAACACCCGAGATTCTACAGTGCGCCGAGAAGATCATCGTTGAGGTCAACACACGCATCCCGAACCTCGAGGGGCTGCACGACATCAACCAGTCGTTCGTGCCGCCTTACAGACAACCCTATGTACGTTTTTATCCTTAGTTTCTCTCTGTACCTCTGACTTGTGCCCACAGCTCATCAAGCACGTCAAAGACCGCATTGGCGAGCCCGCCATCGCCGTGGACACAGACCGCATCGTCGCCATCGTCGAATCGCAAAAGCCCGACAACACTGGGCCCAACTCACCGGAGGTCGGTCCTTTCCTAACTCTCGCATGTCATACAGAGTTCTTATTATCTATAGAACAAAGAGTCCCGTGCCATCGCCGCCCATCTCATTAACTTCCTCTCCGAGGAAGTTGCTGCCGGCCGGCTTCCGAAGAACCTCCTGCCGTTGCAGTCAGGAATAGGAAATGTTGCCAATTCGATCATTGGAGGCCTTGCGGATGGTCCATTTGAGCAGGTGCAGGTGTGGACCGAGGTGTTGCAGGGTAAGTGTTTGTTTTCCGCGCCTTAATAGCGATAGTGGATTGAATAGTCATCTAGATACTTTCATTCGGTTCTTTGACTCTGGGAAGCTGTCATTTGCGACTGCAACCAGCATCAAGTTCTCTCCCGAAGGGTGGGGCTTTCGTCATCTTTCTTTTGTTGTTCGTCATACTTACATCCTTTATTCGTATCACAGATTCGATCATTTCTACACTCGTAAGACCTCGCTATTTATTCTCCAATAGCCAATATACTGATGCAGGATGTCCATAGACTGGTCGGACTACAAGAACAGACTCCTCCTGCGCTCGCAGCAGGTCGCTAACTCTCCCGAGATCATCCGCCGTCTCGGGATCATCGCAATGAACACGCCACTGGAGGTTGACATCGTACGTAGAGTATAGTTTCTTGCGCCCAGTTCCATGTCAACGAAATATCATACACAGTACGCCCACGCAAACTCGACGAATGCACTCGGCTCCAGGATGCTCAACGGCCTCGGCGGCTCCGCCGACTTCCTGCGGAACGCAAAACTTTCCATCATGCACACACCATCCAGGTATGTCTTAGTTATCGAAGCTTCGAAGCATCTACTGACTTCCGCACTAGCCGCCCGACCAAGACTGACCCCACGGGCATCTCCTGCATCGTCCCGTTCGCATCACACGTTGACCAGACAGGTAAGGCCCCTCCCCGGCTTTCCTGCCCGTGACCGCTGACCTCCATCCGCGCAGAACATGACCTCGACGTCGTCGTCACGGAACAGGGCCTCGCCGATCTTCGCGGCCTCTCACCCCGCGAGCGCGCACCGCTCATCATCGAGAAGTGCGCGCACCCCGATTACAAGGAGTCGCTGCGCGAGGTACGTTGCCATTGCACATCCAATATTTTGTGCGTGCTTTCTGAAGCCTTTGCCGGTTTAGTACTATGATCGTTCCCTTTTTGAATGCTTGCAGCGTGGTGCTGGGCACGAGCCGCACATGCTGCGCAATGCGTTTAAGGTCCGTTATTTTTATGACTTCCATGCTGCTGTCGAAGTTAATTGGGTCGTGCCGCAGTTCCATACCAACTTCATGGAGCATGGCACGATGAAGGTCAAAAACTGGGACTAGGCTTGACGCTCCCGAGACGGTCTATTGTATCAAAATCTGTACAAGATTGAAAGCTTTTTCAGTTTATATTAATCACTTATAGCCGTAGACAGATTGAAAGAAAAGCATCTTGTTTTTGAACAAGTTCGGCGGCCAAGTACATCCATTGTACAGATCTCCGAATCTACTCCAACCTCGAAGCTTTTCTCGAACCCGTGATGCTACTCATGGTGGTTTTCGAACTGGTGCACACCGCCTTAGTAAAGCGATCGAATACTCCACCCTTTTGGTGCCAATCTGGTGCGGCTCGCTGAGATGTTGCAGCTTGGTATGTCTTGGAAACTCGGAGTTAGCAGCTCACGGGTGTACCCGGAAGACTTCATAAGGGACCCACGCGGCAAATGAACGGCTTCATACCTACTACCAACATTGCCCTTTACCTGCGACTCAATCATGAGCAACAGGGGACAACGAGGTGGCAGAGCTCGAGGCAGCGATCATGGTGGCGGACCAGGAGGACCTCCAGGAAGGGGCGGCAGAGGCTACACTCCCCAGAGCTCGGACGGCTTTGGGGGTGGACGTGCCAGCCCATCCTTCCGTGGCGGTCCTCCTGGACGAGGTGCTCACCAAGGTGCTTTTGATCCACGAGGCCGTGGAGGCCCCCCAGGGGGCTTTCGCGGTGGGCCTGCCCGCGGTCGTGGCGGCGGCCCAGTGATCTACGCTGAGACCGCTCCTGCAAATATACCATCTCGTCTCGATGATGCTAGCCATGTGTCGCTCATCAAGGCATTCAAATCGCTCAAGGTCATCCCAGAGCGACCCCTCCGTCCAGGCTTTGGTACGCTTGGCACTGCGATCACTCTGAGAGCCAACTTCTTTCCTGTGAAGCTCCCCAAAGGCCCTTTCTATGACCATGTCGTTGAGATCAGCCCGAAGACGGATATCAATCGCATCAAGGCTCGCATCTTCGAGCTCATGGAGCTTAGCCCAGCGTGTGCGCCGCATCTGCCCTACATTGCTCACGATCGCAGCCAACGCTTGGTTTCCGCGAAGAAACTACCCCAGCCACTGGATATTCAGGTCCCTTTCTTCGAATACCCTGACACCGCCCCGAAAGCAGGCGCAACAGTCTATATCGTCAGTGTCAAGTTCGAACGAGAGCTTAACCCAGCACGACTCACAGAGTATGTTCTTTTACTCTCGGTCTGTCCTCAATGAACTAACTGGCTTCGCTATCAGGTTCATGAGTGGAAAGGCGGATGCTCGAGACTATGATCCTCTTCCCTTGGTTTCTGCGGTAAACCTCGTCCTTCAGCAACACGCCAGTCGCAATGGCATCCGTGTCGGCAAGAATCGGTACTTCTTCCCTACCTCCGCGCAGAAAATTAGCCTTGGGCCGGGAGTGGAGGCTTTTCAGGGATTTTATACCTCGGTACGGACGTCGTACAAGCAGCTTATGGTTAACGTGTAGGTCTTTATATCCGCGCCTTATTATTCGGCTGACCCGTCTCCTAGGAATGTTTGCATGTCGGCCTTCATCGAACCAGGCAACCTAGGCGACGCATTGATCAGTTTCTCGCGCGGTTCGCATGGTGCTATGCCTACGTTGCCGAAAGGTTTCGGGAGGGTGAGAGTAAGGACGACGCACTTAGGATACACCAAGCCGGTCAAAAGGATTGGAACAACGTCGTCGCGAAACACCAAATTCGACTGCGCTGAACTGGGGGGCGTAGTCAGTGTTGAACAATACTTTCAAAAGAGTGAGTTCATCTTTCCTACACGATCTCGCTACTCAACCTTTCAACACAGAATACAATATCAAGCTTAAACATCCCGCTGATCTCCCTGTCGTTGACATCGGCAGCCAGAAGAAGGTTATCTGGGTTCCCGCCGAGCTCTGTGACATCCTTCCGGGCCAGCCTTATGGCAAGCTCAACGACAGGGAGACCGCGCAAATGATACGCTACGCTTGTAACCCCCCAAAATTCAACGCCGAAGCTATCGTGAACCAAGGTTTCCCCGTACTCGGACTCTCTCCCGTCAAGGCGCCCATCGATGGGTTTGGCGTCAGTATCGATATCGAGATGACTGTCATCCCCGGGCGTGAATTGGCCCCACCCCGCCTATCATACAAGGCTGGCAAGCCCCCCAACGTCAACAACGGAAGCTGGAATATCCTCGACGTCAAGTTTCATCGTGGAGCGCAGGTGACGAGTTGGTGGGTCGTCGTCGTCCGCGATGGGACGGGTATGATTAGCGGTCCGGATGACCCGAAACTGGCGGCGCTGGTGCAAGGCTTTTCGATGAAATGCCAGAGGAGTGGGATGCTCATGCCGAGCGGTCGCCCACGCCTGGTAGCGATTCCTCTGGCTCCCGAG